AAAGGAGAGAGGAAGGAGAAAGAAAGAGGGAGAGAGATGTGGCAGAGAAGGGGAAAGGGCGAGAGAGAGAAAGAAGGGGAGGGAAAACCCAGAACCAAAGGAAACCCTGCAACGGGGAGAAACGGCAGAATGAGGCAGGGAAGAGGGCACTTCTGGAGTGGGGGAGAGGCCAGCTGGCTTCCAGAGGCTGCCCCTGCACCCCGCTGCCGCCCCTGCCGTCCTCTCACCGCCCCCCTCACCTTGTCGGCTGACTGCGAGGTGCCGAAGAAGATGGGAATGAAGGCCAGCCAGACGATGCAGGTGGTGTACATGGTGAAGCCGATGGGCTTGGCCTCATTGAAGGTCTCGGGCACGCCCCGCGTCTTGATGGCGTACACGGTGCACGTGACCATGAGCAGCATGCTGTAGCCCAGCAGGCAGATGAGCGACAGGTCTGAGATGTCGCACTTGAGCACCCCCCTGGCGAAGCGGGGGTCGAGCGTCCGCTGGTCCTGGAAGTCCACGACTGAGTGGGAGGGGTCCACCACAAACCACACGCAGATGCCCAGCAGCTGCAGGGAGATGAGGCTGAAGGTGATGGCCAGCTGCGAGGCGGGGCTGATGAAGCGCGGGGCGCTGACCGAGCGCTTGCCCTGCTCGAAGATGCGGTAGATGCGGTTGGTCTTGGTCAGCAGGGCCGCGTAGCTGATGCTCATGCCTAGGCCCAGGAAGATGCGGCGCAGGGAGCAGGTGCCCAGGTCGGGCTCAGCGATCATGAGGAAGGTGGTGGCGTAGCACAGGAAGATGCCTGCCAGCAGCACGTAGCTCAGTTCGCGGCCCGAAGCCTTGACGATGGGCGTGTCGTTGTAGCGCACAAAGGTGACCACCACAAACAACGTGGCCGCGATGCCTACCACGGCCAGGAAGAGGGGCAGCACGGCCCAGGGCGAGTCCCACTCGAGCTTGATGATGGGGATGGGCCGGCAACCTGTGCGGTTCTCGGTGGGCCGCATGTCGTAGGGACACGTCTTGCAGGTATAGCGGTCCACCTGGTACTGGTAGCCTGTGCAGGGCTCACAGTGCCAACAGCAAGGCATGCCCTTCACTGTCTTCTTCCGCTCGCCTGGCTGGCATGGCAGGCTGCAGATGGAGCGGGGCAGCGGCTGCCCGCTCCCCGGCCAGTGCATCCGCTCTATCTGGCAACGACATCGCCACAGAGCAAGCCTCAGAGAATGTCACCCAGGACCCCAGACCATCCCACCAGTGGCACCCTATAGCCCCACACCTGAATCATCCAGTTAATTGGCTAAAAGCCCAGCTGTTTGGACCCCACCAAATATAACAGTGAGACTTAAACAAGCTCTCCTGCAAAATTCAGGCACAACTGACCTATGGGGAATCCTCACTGAATCCAACTCTCAAGACACATATGGAGAAACTGAGCCCAGAGAGCAGCAGTGACAATCTAGTTGCACAGAGCATTGGTGGCAGAGCAGAGAGAACTCAAGAGTCCTGACTCCCAAACCTTAAGGTCTTACGATCCCAGCAGCCCCAGGACAGCAACAGCATCACCCAAGAGCTTGTTGGAAATGCACATTTCAGTCCCACCCCAGACCTACTAGCTCAGGATCTGTGTTTTTTTGGGTTTTTGTTTTTTGGCTGTGGTTTTTTGCTTTGAGTTAAGGTCTTACTCTGTTGCCCAGGCTGGAGTGCAGTAGCACAATCATGGCTCACTGTGGCCTCTACCTCCTGGTCTCAGGTGATCCTTCCGCCTCAACCTCCCCAGTAGCTGGGACTACAGGTGTGCACCACCATGCCTGGCTAACTTTATTTTTTTGTAGAGACAAGGTCTCACTATGTGACCCAGACTGTTCTTGAACTCCTAGGCTCAAGCAAGCCTCCTGCCTTGGCCTCCCAAAGTGCTGGGATTACAGGCACGAGCCACTGTGCCCCACCAGGATCTGTGTTTCAGCAAGATTCCCGGGTGATTCATGTGCACGATGGAGTGAAGGATGTGCTGCCCAATGGTTCAGCCCGTGTCTCTGTCAAGCAGCACAGGAAATTGGGTTCAGCAGACAGCAACAAACAAAGGTTTAAGAGGATGCTGCATGTGTGCTTGGGGGTTAGCATTTCTTTACCTCTTGCTCTAAATCAGTGCTAATAATTATATGTTTCTGAAGACACAATGGCTGTGAGTAAAGGAGCCACAGGAGTATTGTCACACCCTACTGAATGTTACAACATTCTGGAAAGGAAGTTAGAGGTCCAAAAGAGCTGCAGGCACTGGGCAAAGGGACTTGGCTACACTTGGGAGCCATATTCAAAGCGTCTGCTCTAAATTAAGAGGCCCTTAGGAAGAGTTCACTTTTAGAAAGCCACAAGCCTGGCTAGACTGGCACCATGTTTGTGCTGGGCGCTCACTCTTGGGAAAGTATAACCAGTTGGTTGGGGGATGTGGGAGGGTTTCAGAGCTGAGGAAAAGGGCAGGGTGGGAAGAAAGCCTCAAGAAAGAAGGTTGTCCTAAGTCTCTGGGTGTGACAGGGCATGGGTTGCCATAGGGCACAACAAAGGCAAGGACAACTGTTCTGTAGGAATGATGAGGAGGGACAAGTCCTGTGCACAGAAGCTGTGAAATTGAAGGGAAGGCCTTTCTCCAGAGGACACAGGATAAGGGTGGGTGTTCTGAAAAACTTGGGGGTTCCCCTGGAAAGAGCAGTGAATGCAGTCAAGTCTTGGTATCACAGTGCTAGTGCTGGCTGGCTGTGTCCTCAAGCAAATGGTTTGTTTTCTCTGAGACTTTGTTTTTTCATCCGATCCAGTGGAAGCAGACATGAAGCTACTACGCCCTTTGTTACTTAGGGTGACTTCCACTTAGAAGTCGTCATAGAAACACCTTTCTCTATTTCACTAGAGCGTCAGCTGTATGTGGGCAGGGACCCTGTGCTTATTTTCCTGTTGTGTCCCCAGCCCTCAGCTCAGGGCTGGCACCCAGCAGAGGCCTAGCAAATATCTCTGGAATCTCTGAGAGAATAACTGCACCCAAGCAGTGAAGCCCAGGGCACCCGTGATGAGAGGCCACCTCACTCTGCACCTCACCCTGGAGGAGGACCGTGGCTGGCGCTGTGGCCCCTACAACACAGCCTACACAGAGCCACCCAAGGAGAAAGTGGGGAAGGTGTGATGGTTCAAGTCCAGCCCCATCTCACCTCCTCCCACCACCTTGGCTGCATCTGGGCCTCACAGGTGAGGGAGTGATAAACGCCTAGAAGGCATTGTGGGCTGGAACAGGATGGGCCTTGAAGACGGTCGGGTTGGGTGCAGGGTCTTGTATTCCTAGGGGGGGACCTTCCAGGGAGGAGCCCACTGCCACCCAAATCCAGTCCCTGTCACCTGCAGTCAGGACATCTCTAAAACGGGGACAGCGGTGCCTACCTCAGAGCTGTCACCCTCACAGTAAGGTGACATGTTTAGAGCAGCAACAGGGACACAACAGGTGCTCAGTAAGCACTAGCTGCCACTGCCACCCGTGAGTTTGAGCCACTGCACCAAGACAAGACTTGCCCTGTTGTCTTGGTGTTGCCCACTCCGCCAAGTGCCCTGCTCAGCAATCCGAGGGGCCTGGTTACAGGAATGGGCTGCTCCTGACATGCTGCGTGGCTTAGGAACGTCCCTTTGCCTCCCCAGGGCGGGCTTTCCTGAGCTATTTCCTCTGACTGGGCTAAATGAAATCATGGGCAGGGCTCACGGGGCTCCTTGCAGGAAGAGATTTACAAGAGGAAGCAGCAGGGGCACAAAGGAGGCAGCGCTCCCAAGACCCTGGAACCATAGCAGCTGAGGCCAGCTTAGGACCTGATCTCCGAGTCTCTCTGGTCCATCCAAGGTGTTGCATTGTGCCACCCCGGGCCCAGCTCACTCCACTCTTGCATGGCAGAGACCAAGATCGCAAGAATTTTCTCAGGGAACAAACCACAGGTCCTTTCTCTCCAAAAACACTGCCCTATTTCACAGCTGGGGCCACTGAAAGCCAGGAGGGGAAAGTCACCATATCGCTGGAACATCCTAGGAGCTAGAAAAGAGTGGCTGGGAGAACCCAGAAAAATGACTGCTGTCTATGTGGTTTGATGGATCTGGGGACTGTCAAATGGCTCCTTACCCACAGGAGGGGCAGGCTATGTGTGGACAGAGGATGAGTCCTGAGCCCAGGTCCAGGCCAGAAATCCCCATGAGACCACAGGACCTGGGTCCAGCACTCGTCCTCTGTCCACACATAGCCTGCCCCTCCTCACCTTATTCCACCACCCACCAAGCCTTTGAGCCATATCACTCCAGTGTGAATTTTCTTTCCAGAATCCCCGACACCCCCTGAGTGGACAGCAGGCAGGAAAGCTCCAGGCTAAGGGAGCGAGGGCAGGGGCCAGAATGGGCAGCAGAACTCTGGCTGCCCTGTCTTCCACTTTGGGATGGGGGCCTCAGAGCCCCTGAGGTCTGGGAGCGTGCACTGGCAAGGAAGTCCCGACCCGGCAGCAGTGATTCTGGCAGTCAGCGCTGGTTAGCAGCTGCCTCCCTCGGTCCCCTGCCAGGGGTTGGGATGGCATGAGTGGCTCTCTCCACCCACTCTGGGCCCCCTCCCTGCTCTCCTGCTTACTCTAAGGTGCAGGTGGTCAGTCCAGGAGCCAATGACTTTGTACTCTGCAGAGCCGTTGCGTAGTTGGTACTGGTAGATGTCGTAGCGCCCGGGTGCATCTCCGTTCTCATTGAAGGTCACAGGGTTCCCTGCGATGCCTGTGGGGATGGACAGGTGTCTGTATGGAGTCTTGCCCCAGAGGCAGGGAGGGCTATGAGCTCAGGGCAGAGACGCCTCTGGGGAGGCCCCTCCCCCTGGAGACATCCAAAGGGACCCCCCCATGGAGCCCTAGGCTCCCTTCCCCTGGGCATGGCCCAGGACACCCAGGGCCGGGCAGTGCCCACACTCCGCCCCCACCTGAGAAGTTGACGCTTCGGATGTACTTAAGCAGCTGGGTGCCGTCTACGGGATCCATGCGCGGGCAGAGTCCCACGCGGCCAGGACACAAGTCGCGGTGCATGGCGTGCAGTGCATGGCCCATGGCGTACACCGCATCAATCACAAACTGCACCTTCCCCTCCTGTTCATACGCTGAGTCCTGCCCAATGCGCTCACGGTCTGCAATGAAACATGGGGGTGGGTGGCCATGAGGTTCACTGTCCTCCCGTGGTGCCGCGAGGGCCAGAGCGCTCTGGCACCCAGAGAGTTGGCCCAGTCTGTGCATATACCCTCCTGACTTCCAGCCCAGTGCTCCATCACCAAGGAGATGGTCGGGTGGAGACAGCTGGGGACAGGCCAAAGGGGGTGAAGAGGAACGTACACTGGCCACGACACTGTACCGCTGCCTGTGCCCCCTAAGGTCCCCAGAACAGCCAGGCAGTCTCCCTTGTCACCTGTCACTCTGAAAGGCAGTGGCCCAGAGGATCTCTCCATGGCTGTGGTACCTGCTGTCCTCCCCTCAGCCTGGCTGCTCTCACGGGCTGGGAGACAGCCAGGACAGGGGCAGTATCTGCCAGGGAGGTCAGTGGTGCCCCTAAAGCCATTTGCCTGTGGGCAGCCACCAGAGGATGCTGCCCTCACCCCAGGGTTCCGTTGGGGAAACTGAGGCCCAGTCACCCAGATAAGTGAGTGAGAGCTTTTCTTTATTATAGGGAGAAACTGAGGAACAGAGTTCGGTAACCTTTAGGCCCATGTGGAGTTGGAGCTGAACCCAGGTACTCTAGCACCCCATCGTACCAGACAGAGAGGGGATGGGCAGGGGGGCAGAGACTCTGAGGTGAGGACACAGGGGCAGGAGGATGGCAGGGTAGAGGAAGGGAGAAGATGGACAGAGCTTGGGACACCTGGCTTCCCCTCCCAAGGCCACAGCCTCTGCACACAGCATGACCCCCTTCCTCCTTTCTCAGGGCCAGGATGAGGGAACTCCTCATAAGCCCCTGTCCTTTGTAACCCCCTGCTCCTAGCTGGCACCTCCCAGCTGGAGGGCTGGAGCCACACCCTGCAGAAGCAGTTCCCAGCAGTGGGCTGTAGAGTGAATGGTCCTACCTGTACCCAGCCTGGATGGCCAGAGCCTGAGTCTCCCATGTGAGGGCCAGGTTGGGCTGGGTCGGCTTTAGGCCTGGATCCCTGGGTACCCCAGAGGTCACTGTGTACATGCCCCTGCCTTGGATACCTCAGAGGTAGACCCAGGGTAAAGGTGACTGCACTGCCTCTCCCTGCAGTCTGCTCTGCCCTCCCAACAGGAAGGACAGTGGCTCCACCACTGGATTCGTTGTGACTAGATGGCAGTACTGTCACCCATTGCTTGGCCTGGTTACTCAGCTGACCCTGCTGGCCAAAACCCTACCCATTCTCAGCCTAGCCTGGGATAGATGCTCACAGATTGCTGAGTGGATGTCAGAAATCACGGCGTCTCGATGCTAGGGACGGCAGGACCATGGGAAACATCTGCCCCAACTGCCATTTACACTTGAGGAAGCTGAGCCTGGAGAGGGAAACCCCAGGCCACACAGCCCAGAGCAACCTGATGAGCACTCCTAGCTCCCAGCTCCCACCATGCCTCCAACCCAGACTGCACATGACCCGGGGCCTCTGTCAGCTCTGTCACCTGGCAACACTTTCTAGGCCAAGGTGCAAACAGAAGGAAGGGACACAAAAGGCGGATTCCCCAGCCTCACCGTCTAGCCTTCTCGTCTAAGGCCACAAGGTTCCAAGGGCCCGGAGGAAATGGAAGGGACAGTCCTGTGCCCAGAGGGTACAGAGGGGGCTGGGGCATCTCCTGGAAAGCCCCTCCCTGGGCCACACCCGTGCTCCCTCATTCCCCTGGGCCCTGCTTTCTGCAGCCTTAAGACCCACGGAAGCCACGTGATTCCCACCACGCCTTCATCTCATATGGATGAGGGACTAAATTATTAACCAGGGATGAGAGGAGGCTGCAGCCACTGCAGAGAGGAGGCAGCTCTCTTCCAAAGACACACCCCGTGGCCGCCAAGAGCCGGCCACGTTGCTGGTGGAAGCAGCTCTCCCACTAAGCTGGCCTCAGCCTCTCCTCTCCCCGGCTCCCCAGGTGCTGCTCAGAAGGCCCAGCGGAAGCATCTGCTCCTGGGCCACTTGGGATCAGGGCCAAGTGCTCTCACTGGGGTCACAAGCCACCAAGATTCATGACCGTGTGGATGCCCCCTCGGGCACCTCCTCACAGGGAAACCTGCCTCCACCTGGGGCGGCTCCGGGGGAAGGGCTCTGGAGTCCTGTGGGCCTTGAGCCCTAGGGCATGCCGCTGCAGAGGGTCTTTCCTGGTCCAGGACCTTCCCCTCAAAGAACAGCAATGACAGGGACAAAGGATGCTCCCCTGGCAGGGTGGCAGATTTATGCAGGGCTGAGGGGTGCAGGGGCTGGAGAGATCGTGGAAACCACAAATGCACACTAAACAAGATGAGCTGCTGTGTCCAACCAAACGAAGGAGTGGCTGACACACACTGTGCCCGTCACTGCAGCAGCCCCTGCCACCCAGTCCGGCTCCTCCATGGACAGCCCTGCAGCCAGGTTTGCGCTCATGAGCTAGCTCTGGGGGACAGGCTGATGAGCCCCTCCTACAGGGGAGGTAACCAAGGTTTTGGTGGGTGGGTGACATCCCTGGTGTCTCATAGGAATCCTGGCACCAAGGGGATGTCTATCCATGGCTGAGGGTAGAGCCAGCTGGTAAGCGCTGGAGTTGGGATTTGAACCCAGATCTCTCTGGCTCCGAGAGTCTTCACTACCCCGAACTGCCCCTCTTCCATCTAGCCCCTGACCCGCCTCCTTCTCCCTTTTTGGGGCCCAGGCTCTGGCCTCGTTGCCTGGCCAGGCCAAACTAGGAGTTAAGGACTCCCTGTCTGCTGGTTTAGAAGAGGCAGGTGACAGAGCAGGGAAAGGAGTCAGGATATCCCCTCTCGTGGTTAGGCGGGACCCCCAAGCCCAGGCAGGAGCACCTCAGCTCTGGGAGGGAAGAAAACATGAGAGCTACTGGAGGAGATAAATTCCAGACACAGGGCTGCAGTGACAGCAGCAACAGTTTGAAGATGTCCTAATTGTGTCCCGGGGCATAGTGAGGCAGAGATGCGTTTGGCTCTGCTACGGGTGACAGCCAGCCGGGGAACCATCCAGGGAGGATTTTCTCCGTCAAATCCCTGCAGCTGTGGTTACTACGGCGACTGCAGCCTTTGTCTGCAGGTTGTAAATTGTAATTGAAATGAGTTTTCAAGGTTGAAATAATCAGAGTCCTCCTTGTCTTCCCCCTCACCTCTCCACAACTCACCCCACCCAGCCACGGGGCTCCAGAGCGCTAACGCTTGTACACACGTGCACACACATTCTAGAAGCAGGTCTTCATGCCTGCTCACGCCAGGGTATACAAAATCAACCACACAGACACCCAGATATTTTCACATTTACTCATATATGTAATACAGTAGCAAATGCACAAACCTGCACACATGTACACGGACGTCTGTACACACAAACATGCTCAAACACAGGTATACATATAAACACACCCAATGTCTCCACAACTACACACTTAACACAACACTTACACAAACATGTGGGCATTTGGATTCACCGACTGTCCTAGGCTGAGCACCCACCACAGATCTGGCAGGGGTTTGAGTGTAAGTGTTTTCTTTGGGAGGGGATGCTGGGAAGCGCTGGGAGAGAGGAGGCAGGTGAGATGGCAGAGGGAGGTAGCTGATGCTGGTATGTGGGTCTCAGTCCCACTGAGGCCTCTGGGAGACTGCAGACTGTGTCTCAGGATTGTTCCATCTGTGGGGACAAATGCCCCCACTGTGGCTGTCCTAGGCTAGGTGCTGCTCCCAGGAGCATGAACCCCACTGCACACTCAGAATGGTGAGTGTGAGGGGTTTGGCTAGGTACCTACAGCATCTACATAAACACGTACATGCTCACATGTGTGACCAAGCATAGATCCATGTCTATACCACACATGCCTACATATAGATAAACCTGCATTTATGTACAAATATACTAACATACACACACACACACTTTTGTCCCTTGAGTAAACTTCCAGGGAATAGGACAGAGGACCCCAGGGCTTCTCCAGAGAGGGAGGGCTATCTGGTGCAGCAGACCAAACACAAACATCTACCCCTGATCCCTGGCTTCCTACATAGGTTCCAGACCACGGAACTGAGCCTCCTAGAGCCTCAGTCTCCCGAGACATGAACTTAGGATACCACTTATCCTGAGGGCTGTTGGGAGGACTGAAGGAGCTGCAGGTGTAAACCACCCAGCACCACATCTTGTGCACAGAGGTCCCCTCTCAGCCCTGTCCCCTTTCCTCCCTGACACTCTGGACAGAGCCCACCCCAGGGCCTGCATCCCAGGCGTGGCCCCCTCTCTGTCCTGTGTGCAGCCTGGCACGTACTAGCTCTAGTGCTGACTCTCCTGCCCCCTCCCTCCCAACGTGCGGTGGGTGAGGGGTGCTACGGCACACAGACAGACCCAGGCCAGTTCCACCCAGCCAGACAGATGGATATGTTGGAGAAAGCTATCACTCTGTGCTTCCCAGTCACCTCCCCTTCACCTGGGGTTGAGCCATTCTACCCGTCACCTCCCTGAGACATCCAGTCCTTCTGAGGGCCCCTTAAGTCCTGCTCCCAAGGCTGGGCTCACCACCCCCACTGGTCCTGCCCCAGGAGTCACTGGTCAGGCTCTCCCTGGTCCAGAGTTACACTCTTGCTCTTCAGCCCACAACTCAGCTCTGCAGGTCCCTCCCCTTGAATTTCATCCTTGTCACCTCACCTGCTTTCCAGCCTGGGAACCTCTAATCAGCTCAGCCTAGTTTCCTCCACCCTTAGCTCTGTCCCCATGACTCTGCCCTGGGTCTACACCAACTCTTTCCTGCCCTGGCAAATGATGCACCAGGTGCTTTGGGAACTTAGTGGCTGGGGCAAATGGGATCCCATCTCAGGGATGAGGAGACTGAGGCTCGGAGAGGTGAGCCGCTTACTCAGGGGGCCGGGCTCTTGACTCCCTCTCTCAAGTGTTCTCACCCAAGCTCCAAGAGCACTGTGATGGCACAGCCTGGGTTCCTCCCTCTGGAGCTAGCCACAGGCCCCTTC